TCTAATTAAACGGTTAGCTTGAGGGGATTAAAATGTCGAAGGGGGTATTTGCGAACGTCCATAACAATAATGAAATATCATGTAAACGAGTGCGATAGACAGATCCAGGGGGGGCGGAACGGAGTCGGTAGGGGCGTGGCTTGGCAGTGCTGGCTGCTCTCTCGCTTCGGCATATTCATGAGAAAAATGCAAATGTTAATTACAAGCGGCCCCAAAATTAGAACTGTGCGCGTTATGCGTGACTAATGCCAGGCACTGTATAGATGTATGTATGTATGTGTGTGTGTGTGTTTGTGTTGGTGTGCTGGATTAGGCCTGTAAATGTAGTTGATGAGCGCCAGTCGAAATTCAGAATGAAATGTATGCAAGGCTGATGGTGTTGCATAAATATTTCATAGAAGAATTTACCTTTTCGGTTGGTAATTGTTGTTTGTTTGAGAGAGTTTGGAGAGTCAAAGATATAGAGAGAGAGAGATTTCAAAAAACACATAAACAGAGAGCAAAAGAGAAAGAAAGAGAGAGAGAGAGAGGCAATAAATGTACAATTATAACAATTAGATCAATTCTGAACACACATAGAGTGAGCGCAGCTAAGCTCTGATTGCTGCAAGGCGCGCTAAAAAGGTGGGAGCACATTAATTAGCAAATACGTCACATAAATGTATATTAGTATGTATATATATATGTATAGTATATATAGAGAGAGCATTAAAGTATATCAATTGACAGTCTGTTTTGCACAGTTGGCATATTTACCCATGTTAAGTAAACGTGCGCTGCTTGTTATGCTACGATTTCTACGACGGCTTTCAGTGGCGCCTCATTAAAATCGAAGCTGCTGTTGCTGTTGTTCTAGTTGTAGTTGTTGATGTTTATTGCTGTTGTTTAGTATTACTGGTTGTTGTTCTTGTTGTTGTTGTTGTGATGGGTTCGCAATTTACTTAGTTTTATTTTTACATTTTTGCGTTGTACGTATCAGCTGTATGTTGTTGCTGTTGTAGCTGTTGTTGATGTTGTCGTGGCCTATTATTAGTATTGTTTACTTAATACATACATAGATATATGGCATATATATCTATATAAATAAATACAGAAATTTACTACATTCTCCGACTGTAAATGGCATGCTTTTATTAATGTTATGTAACAACACACACACGCACACACTCGCACTCACACTCGCACACGCACATAAAAAATGTTTTCATATATATTTCTGTTCTATTTCGAAAAGTTGTCGGCATTCATAGCACTGTCAGCACGCACTGAGAGAGCCAAGTCAAAACCTTGACAGCAACTAAAGCTGAACTAGTTTTGTTGTTTTTTTGTTTATTTTTTTTCATTGTTTGCTGGCCCATGGATTTGGATTAGGTAAGAAGACGTCGTCGCAGTTGCCGCGCCATTGTACTATGACTTTTGCTCGGTCGTTCATCGATCCTGGTTTTTGTTTTTTTTTTTTTTTTTTGTTTGCCAGTTGCTAACTGTCGTCTTGACCCAGTTTTGAGTGCTGGCCAAGTCGAATAGCCAGCACTAGCAACAAACACTAACCGTAATCTACGAAACTTTAACTGACATTTCAGCTTACGTTCACAAATTGTCTGTGACACACCAGAAATTGTGTGCTTTGGCGTTTGTGGCTAAGCAAAGCTTATTTTGTGCAAATGCAATTGCAATGCCATTTTCAAGCTGATATATCGAGTTGAAATTTGATTTGATTTGCTGAGTAATTTATTGATATTTTTATGTTTAACTCAAATATATTTGGTAAAATTTCGTAACTGAATATTCACTGTTATGCAATGGCTTAATCAATTTATTCAGCCTTAACCGAATTCGAACTGAACTTTGTTAATCGTCTTCATCACGAATTTGTGTATGTGTGTGTTTGTGCATGACGTGAATCACAAGAAATCGGATATGCTTTAAAAGCGACAGTCCAAGCACAACAATACACACACATGCCCCATGTATTTGTGAGAGTGGCTTTTTCTCTATGTGTGCGTGTGTGTGTGTGGGTGAATAACAAACCATATCAATAGCCAGCAAATACAATTTCACTCTCGCTTCAGGAAATGGGCCGCGCTGAAGAGGCGCGCTCGCTGCCCTCGACCGCAAAACGGAAGTCGACGTTCGATAGAGTGAACTTTTTTCTGTTGCATAGTTTTAGGAGCTGCATAAAATGCCTCCAGCAATTGCATTTAATTGCAATATTCCGGTCGATCGATATTATTATGGCCTCATTCAATTAAGAGTTAACACGCACGCACACACATGGCCATTGGCATTGAATCACCATTGTACTTCGCTCTGTATGCAATTAATTGCGTTTTTTCACAATTGCAGAACAGGAAAAAAAAGATGCTACAATGCAATTATAAATAACATAAAAAAAAAAAATAATAAAAACAGAAAGCTACTTTTGCACGTGTGCGCGCTTTCAATCGGTGCTGCCGCTGTGGCTGTGCTGCCGTCGACGTCGACGTCGGCGTCGCCTCGGTCGATGTAGCCAGCGCTCTACGTGCTGGACGAATATCAAGGGTACACTGTTCAGCGGCCACACACAGAACGAGCCCACACAATGACGACGCCAACCATAACTGACAGGCGACCGAGCCAGCGCACAGATATAAAAACATAGATAAAAGTGGCAAAATACTTGCGGAGGCCAAGCAGCAGCAGCAACAGCAGCAGCAGCAGCAGCGACATCTACACGTGCCAACACATTCACATATATATGCATATTTACATAAAGAAACGCATTGGAAGCTACACGTAGTAAGTGTGTGCGTATGTGTGTGTGTGCGTGTGTGTGTGTGCGTATGTGTGTGTGTGTGTGTCTTCTGCACGTCAGACAGTCTCTAAGCGCCCGCCACAGAGTTGTTTTCATGTTCACTCGCTTGACATTGTGTCGTCATCAACCCCCAACGTGAACACACACATATACGCACACGCACACACACACACATGTGTGTGTGTGTGTACATGCGTAGGCTTACCTGCCCACTACACAGACACAGATATAGACACAGACACAGACACACGCACGCACGCCCGCACACAAACAACATTCATTCAATGAACTGAGCTGAATACACACACAGAAAAGTCCACATATACACACTCACACACTCACTCACATATACATATATGCATATATATGTAACACATACATGCGCGTTGCGTGTAGTGAATTTCCTTCAGCTTTGCTAGCTGTTCTCCGCACTAACGACGCACACAGCTGAGAGTTCCGCACTTGACTAAGTTGGGTTTGCTTTGGAAGCACACTGCTTACCCGGAGGCCAGAACACCAGCTGTGGGTCATGCGCACTGCGGCCACAGCTGCAGCCGGACAGCTGTTTGTACACTGCGAGAAAGCGGGGTTTGCTACTCACGAGTCTCCACGACCAGTATGGCCGTCACGAATTCACAGAGCACCTCCTGGTGTCGCTTCAGGCGATCCCGCGTGATCAGCACGCGCTCCAGCATATAGCCCATCATCAACAGCTCCACCTTGAGCATGGCACAGACATCGATCAGCTGGCGCACGCTCAGCGTCTGCAGCACCTTCTGATTGCCCGCCAGGCCGCTGGCCATTTTCGCTCCAGTCTCCCTCTTTGCGGATCTGCGGCAGTGACGTTGCTCCTTGGAGCTAGGCTTCTCCTGCAGTTTCTGGTGGCGACGGCAGCGACGCAGACGTCTTGCCTGCTGCTCCTGCTTGCCATAAATGTCGCATAGCAATGCACTCAGCAAGGTTTTCGTGTCGCTGTGGTTGTTGCCAATTGGGTTAGCGCTTATCAGGGCCGAATGCTAAATGTTAATTAAAGCTCACCTCATTTTCGTAGACTTCAGTGATAGGACACAGCGGTTGTTCAACGGTTGCCGAATAGGTATTTTCTTCTATCGCCCGCAATGGCTTTTTTATGCAAAATATAAAACAGAAAATACAAAATAAATTTACATAATAATCGAAGCATTGTTTGATTAAGTTTAAGTAATTTCGGAAAATTTACTCTGCCCAATGCCTAGAGCTGTGTAAATGTCCATTATTGTTTATTTATTGTACATTGTTTATTTTTATGCTGATTTGTACTTGTGGGTACACTCGCCTTTACAAATGTTTAGATACCAACGTTACGCCAAAAGAGAACGTGAAAAATATTTTAATTGGTAAATATATGTAAATATTTGGGAATACAATCCATGAATCCAATCCATGAAGAAAAATCTTTTTAGAACTAGAAACTTAAGAGCTTATATCTATATGCTATATCCATGGCCACGTCTTCCAAAGTTTTTCTATTGGTGGCGTTTAGGTTGGCACTCAGGTGTTATTATTCATCCATAAAGTTCCTAGAGTGTAGATCATACTATAAATAAATGATAATATAAATAATTCAATAAATAAGCATATAAGTATATTTATTTGTTTTTTATTTTATAAATCAATAAATAACCATAAACGAAAATTCATTTGTTGTTTCATACATTTAAATAAATGAAATAAGTTGCAATCAGCTCTTACAGACTACAGAATACTCATTTACCCCATTTTCGCACCCCAAATGGTATATCAAATCTTTCAGAGGCTGGAAAATGCATTTTCCATGTCTATTTGCCATGCCTAGTGTTCGGATAAGGGAAAATTTGACACTTTTTAATTCGACAATTGCATGTGTTACATTCCTACGGACAGACTGATGGACAGTAAGACTAACATGATACAACTCGAATATTTCCTTGAATGAGTATATAAATACGTAATAAATTTATTCACATATGAAATATAATGTATATAATATGTTTATGATCTCTGAAAAATATATAAACGTTAATTCAATATTCGCGCACATATACTGCAGACTCTCTGTTCAATAACCCATTAGTATAGAAACTATTCGAGGAATAAATTTAATTCATGAATAGTTTAACTTAAAATCTTAAAATCTTAAATAAATTCAATTCAAATTCAAAAATAAAACCAACTATTTCTTTTAACCATAAACAATTTTATTTCAATAAATTTTATGCTCTGCAACTGTGCAACTAAGGATGTGTATAACGTCTAAATATTGTAAATGTGGTCAGAGATAATTTTGTGGCAAGTATTTCATGCATCGTTGTAAGATCGAGGACGTGGTATAAAAATTTGAAAAGATGTCCAAGCAGATTTCATTCACTGTGCTTGCTGACTTGTTGCTCATCATTCGTAGTATGAGTGATTATACAAATATAAAAACATTAACGCACTCTCTGAATCGGGACTCAACGCGGATCTCAGTAGAATGTTCGGTCCATATGTGTGTTCAGCGAGAAATTTCGATACATTCCAAAGCGCACGACATCGTTGGAGAATTTCTGGGAGAGGGGAAAGAAACGCGTTGGTATGGTATAGGCATTCGGAGCATAGTATCCATATTCAGAGTTGCAAGTGCGGTACATGGTATTGGTGTCCTTCTCCACGCCATAGCCCTTGAAGTTATCTGTGAAGGGATTACGAGAATCATTTCCATGTAGATCGAGAAGTAGAGGCTGATCACTTACAGGGGCATTTGATATCCTCGCGCTTGTGCAGATTCTCATAGAGCTTGGCCGTCTGCACTTGCGGCTTACGCTTGATAAATTTAAGAAATTCCGCTTCTGGATTGAAGCTCTCCAAATCATCACAGAAAGTTTCACACATTTTCACTGAAATCAGTGCAACCTCAAAAATGTAAATGTAAAATTTGTTAGTTCTGAGCTGTTTTTAGTTAAATGGTTAACTGTGCTACAAGCCGAGCATATCGAACAAATACTCCACTCGCCCATGGGTTGCTTGGTTACGATTCGAAACTGACAGACGAGGCGGCAACAACAACGCATGCGTGCTGCGAGCTGTCAGTTTGACAGTTCAACAAATGGGGGGCAGATGCCAGCCCTGAATGATGAACATATACACAAATTGGGCAGCAACTTGTTTGGTCTGACGGATGCACAAAATGTACAATTTGTCGAATGTGCTAAACTTCATCATCTGCATGGCCAGCTTCAGCCAGTCGTTCGACGGGGCCTTGGCGGTCAAGCGAGGACCCCACCATCCGCGTGGGGAAACACGACGAGTCGACCAGCATCTCACCCATGAGGAGCAGTGAGTGTTGGTTGAAAGGAGTGTAAATAATTTGCAGATAAATATTTTGATTTCCCAACAGTCGCATTGATGACGACCTCAAGGATATGGGCATTCAGGCGAGTCTGGAGGACATGAGCGAGGAGGAGAAAATATTCTACATGTTCAAGGTAAGCAGCTCGAGTAGCTCGCTGCGGGGTCCATTAACTTACCCACACACTCACACTCACATCCTTTAATAGGCGCACGACAATGACAATAACAATGCTCTGGACGGTCTGGAGATGATTCAGTCGGCCATGCATCACAACTACGACTATCTGAAAAACGAGCAACGCGACAGCTACTTGCCGAGTGCCAGCGAAGAACTGGACCACTTCATAGGTGAGTTGAACATGAAGCCTTGTACGAATGGGCGTATACCCTACGATCATTTCACAGATGCCATTGACAAGTTTCTGCTGATTGCGGATGACAACAACGACGGGCTGCTGCACTACCCGGAGTTCGTGAAGGCCGTCACCGGAGGCAAGGAGCAGCTGGCCTTGGAGCGGAACATGCTCCGCTAAGCTGGGTGCGGAAGAACTTCTCTTGATACAATAATAGATATAGCTTAGTTAAATTGTAGCACTTAGTTAAACCACACGTGTATTTCCATGCTGAACCGTTGAGACTGTACATAACACACACACGTACACACTAGCACACACACACACAACCACAAAGCCGCAGCCGAAAGCAATACTACAATAGCACTATTTAAATAAATATTTCATTTGTACTACAATAATTGAACCGGGAGTATTAGTATAGTAGGCGCTGGAGGCGGGGCAGGTGGGCTATAGGAGGCCATCGCAGGACTGGGTGGTGTTGCAGCTGGCTCCTCGATAGCCGTCGTAGGCGGCGCGCTCCATTAGCACGATGAGGTCGTTGTAGCGCGGCTTCTCCAGCGGTGCGCTGCAAATAGTTGACTCCATAAATAAAGTGTAAATCAATTGCAATACAGATTGGCTCAAGCTCACCCCTGGAACACATCGATGGCGCCCAGCAGCGCGCGGCCCGCCTTGGCGTACTCGTAGGCCGCGTTGGGGCAGGCGCAGGCCGCGGCATACAGACAGTCGTCTTGGCCGGCGCCCTGGGCGGCCAGAAAGCCCATTATGAGATAATCATCGCCGGAGCTGAGGCCCAGGCCATAGGTGCCGTCGATGCGCGACGCGGAGCGCGCATAGCCATGGCCATAGCCCACGCCGCTCCAATGGCCCGCTCCCAGCAGGCCGGCCGAGAAGATGAGCACCTTGAGCAGCACTATGATCAGCAGATTGGTGAGGTTCAAGCTGAGCACCTGCGAATAGCTGACACATGCAGTAATCATCTTTCGATTGGTTAGTATGCAAACTGCGCACGCACTTGACTATTGCCCGCGGAGCGGTGCAGCAGCTCCTTGGCCACCTGGACGACCACATGCCCCGCCGGGCTGGCGAACATATCCTGGGCGCTGCGCAGCCACGACAGCGGTCGCAGCTCCGTCTGGGTGTCGTTCAGCTCATTCGTCGCGGGGCTCTGCAGCTGCACAGCTACGCTGGCTGCCCGACCACAGCCCAGGATTGCCAGCAATGACAGCGCGAGCCCAAGCATCCAGTTGGCTAGCATTTTGTTTATTATTATTACTTGTTAAAGATCGCGTGCGAGTTGTTGTTGTTGTTGTTGTTGTTGCTGTGGCTGTCGCGTCGTAACTGGTCTGAGCTGCGGCAAGTGCCTGGTTTTTATCTGTCGCACATCTGCTGGCCAAAACGGTTCCGTCTTGGCTTGGCTGCAGGTAGCTGCAGCGGCAAGGCCTCAGGCCCAGAGACGCCGCTGCATGTTGTGCCTGGCTGCACCGTTAAAGAGAGCTCACAGTGCGGCATTTGCGGCAGCGAAAGATCGAGAGTGTTTTCCTGGTGTCATTAGCCTGAAATTGGCCACACATTTTTCCACTTCGAGGATCGCCACTTACCTGCCCAATGTCACAGATTTCCAGGTAAACGCACGCGAAATTGTGCGTGTCCTCAAGTAAACCAACACAATTGCCATAGTTTTTGTTTTTGTTTTTGCTTTAGTTTTTTTGTTGTTATTTATTTATATTTTTGTATCAATCATCAACTCGTTTATTGTTACTTGGGTGTTGCTTGTTGTTGTTGTTGTTTGTTAAGTATGTATGAATGCTTGTTTAATGCAGATTCCAAACAAACGTTGATTTGTTGTTACTCAAATGTTGTTGCTGTTTTAGAAGAACTTTTAATTTCATATATAAATATGAATATTCATACAATTTCGATTTTTATGCAATTACAGACAACATGCAAATACATAATGTATATATGTATGAATATATGTATATATATAAATATGCGTAGATACTATACTTTCACAATAATACGAGTATGAGTATTTATTTGGTATATTTTGCAACATCTGCACGTAGTATGTATGTAAAGAAGTATTTATTTATTTTAATATATGTATAAGTATGCGTGTATAATTTTAAATATTTTATTTGCTTTTGCTTTTGTGTTTCTTGTGTCTTAGATTTCAGCATTTCATGATGCGCTCCATGATATTGTTTGATGTGATATATGATATAAAGCCTGTATGTGTGTGTGAGTGTGTGTGTTGAAGGTATATAACCTTTTTCCATTGTAAATAGATGTTTGTAAAACAATTGTATATGATTTCATATGTGCCAGTTGAGTATAATATATGTATGTAGATATTGGATTCGATTCGAAATGATGATGTATGTGTGGCCCATGATGTACATATGTATGTGTGTATTTTCGAATGATATTMATTAATTAAAATGCATTATGCCATGAGAACAAATCAAGCTCAGGACTCAAATGATAAAGGTAGAGCTCTTTGTAAATATTATTCATTAAATTCGTAATACATATTCCGAAAACTTTTCACTTTTGTAAAACACTACTAAATTTGAGTTATACATATATATAAATATTTGTAATTGAAATATTTCTGAATTGTAAAGTTTATATTAAAAGGGGAGCTGGGATTAAAACAGATTCTATTGTTCGATTTGTATATTTCGTAACTAACTGAGATAACTGTCGTCACTTTTCAAATACATATTCTAAAAGTTTGTAATATACAACCCAAGCTTAAAGTTGGTTTAACTATTTCTCGCGATATGTAACAACAAAATCAATCTAGATATTTATATATATTTAGCTATTGTTAAAATAATGCTTAAACATGTGCGTAACAAAATCAATTTATTATTTACGGCTAAAGTTTCGCATTAACCTAGTCCCTCAATGCAATATGTATGCTACTTCTGTTGGCTTCTCTGCTATCATATGTTCGTTGTGGCATCCAACATTTGGGAATAGTCCATATTGCATGGGCATGCTCGCCTTTGGATAAGAGCATCTATCGATCCTCTCCAATCTCCAATCTCCCATTTGCATTCATTTTTCTACTTTTTGTTTCAGTTTCGTATTTACCTTAATTTAACATTGCTTTGCTCGCTGTTGTTTGAGTAGCTGTGCGAGTACGTTTGTATGTGTGTGTAAACATTAACTACTAGTATATGCATGCATATATACTTGTATGCATACACATGTATGTATTTGTATGTGTTGTACAATAATATTTGTGGGCATATAATAAACACTTAATTTGTGTGTAATTAGCTTTTGTGTATGTAACATTTGCTCATATAATATATATATTAT